ATGTGATATAAAGCATGAAATATTATAAAATTATTCATTAATATTAAAAATAAAAAAGTTGTTAAATTTAAAACTTCTGACATGTCCAAACACTAACTGACTTCATTATTTAACCATAAAACCACCAAACCAAACACATATTCCAGCTGTAGAGTCATTTCTGACCCATAGAGACCTGTAGGGCAGGACAGAACTGCCCCCATTGGGTTCCCAAGCCTGTAATCTTCATGAAAGCACCACCACATCTTTCTTCCAGAGTGGCTGGTGAGTTCGAATCACCTACCCTTTGCTTTGCAGCTGAGAGCTCTAACCATTGTGAAACCAGGGCTCCTCATTTAACAATTCAGACTCTGAATTTGAGTGATACTTTTTTTATGTGTGTGGTCTACCAATGAATTTCTTTAGGATGCAGGTGCCATCTTCCTGCACATATTGCAGAGAGAGTTGTGTCCAGAATTTTACAATTCCCATTTGTGTTTGGGGCTCTTATCGCTTAACAGTTTATATACTAAGTGTGTTCCTTCCTCCTCCAATACAAGTTACAAGTCAAGGTAAAAGTTTGGGAAAATATCTCAATGTTTTCTACCAAACCCCAAATAACAATGACAACAACCAAACCCCTTAGAAGCTTAATCTAACTTGTAAAAAAATTATTGTTGGCCTGTATTTCAGCAAATACATCTTTTTGCAAAGGAAGGAAACCAATGGAGTTGCCATTTTTCTTGATATTCCAGCTTCTCAGGTTTTCCACTATAACATGCCCCTTTTTAACCCTTCCTCCAGCTAACTGAAAGCCTTGTGGTATGGTGTACAACTTGCAGCAAAGAAAGCCAAGAGTGGGGGCAGGGGAACCTCCCGAGGCACTGCTTACTAATGTAATTCCATAAATCAACTAATGGGAGAGAAACCAGATCTGTGTGATCTCTAATGCTGCACCACAGAGATCAATCATGTCACCTGAACAATGCTCAGGGACTAAGAAGCTGGGGTTGGCCATGGGACAACTTCACCCCTTGAGCCTTATCAGATTGGGATATTTTTTTAAAAATAGATCTTAGCATCAGAAACATAAATGGTGTGAATATAAAAACTGAACAATTACTTTTGCAGGAAAGAAAGCATTATTATGTAATTTATTTTCCTAAAGATCTCCTATGTGATCATATGCTTCTTAAAATATTTAGGAACTTAATATTGATCATCTAGAATACACTTTTTCTCAAATAAGTTTTATCACACAAGGGCCATACAGCATTTGCAGTAACTGCTTTGAATAATTAATGATTGTGTTTTCATATAGTAATTAACTAAATGAACAGTATTATATGCACATATACAGGCACATTATCATAGAAAAACTGAATTTATTTTATATGCGTTACTATTATATGAAATATTAAGACATGTTTTATACACATATTTCTAGGGCATTAAGATGGTCTTAAAGTGAGACTATTCAGAAAAATCTGGAAATAATTAAAGCAGTTTTAGAAGGAATGCTAAAAGAGAGGCTTTAAAAAAAATGTGGGCAAGCATCCCAACACATCCATGTGAGTCTGTCTTAATTTCAGTTTACTCACCCTGAAAATCTGATTATATCTCTAGTCTTTAGATGAAAAGTCAAAGAAGGGCACACAGTGTTGAAGTGATAAGTAAGAATGTAACTAATGATTATGATCCAGATGTTAAGTGGTTTCCATAATTTAAAGCCAACAAATAATAGCTACTGAACATAAACCTGAAATTCACAGGTAATATCCATAATGAATCCCCAAATCCCTGCCTTCAGTCAGGGAGACCAACCAAACTCTAAAACATCTCTTCACATGAAGATAATTTACAAGAACCAAATTAGAGTGGGAAGTCAGGTCAGCAGGAGGACTACCCCATCCCCACCCCCACCAGCAGACCTGCAACCACTGTTCCAGCTTTGGTTCAGTCTTGTCAGCCCTGTCACTCTGACATGCATCCAGCTGGTTTCCTACAACCATAACTGTGTGGTTACACGTGTGCTTAGGGCAATCATGCTGTCATTGCCTTCTTTAATGACATGAAAAAAATCTTAGCCAATTTCAAAAACTTGTTCCTTTTCTTTCTTCCTGCCAATTAGCTTTCCACTAATAATCTTAGCTTTGAACTTCTGGTAGAATGAAGTCTGCAAGTTAAGAGAACATCTTCAGAGGGTTCAACAAAGGGAGGCATTGGCTTCCTTTCCACCCATGTCCCACCATTTGAAGATCAACAAAACTTTTGTGTATGGGGATTCTATACAGGAAGGAAAGGTGATACTATGGGAATTTGCATCAAAATGCAAATTTAATTTAATTTAATCAATTTAAACACCACAGAAAACTTGTCAGAAAGTTTTCTGACAGGAGAAAAAGGGGGAGTAATTTTTTATATCAGTTTAGACTAATTCATCAGCAAAGAAACTGGTGCAGAAAACCTACTGGTATTCACATCCAGCTTCTCCAGAGGTGGTTACTTATTAAACAAATCAGAATTATTTAGTGGCCTTATGTACTACATAAGGAGCTTTGGTGGTGTAGTGGTTAAGGCATTTGGCTGCTAACCAAAAGGTCAGTGGTTTGAACCCATCAGCTGCTCTGTGGAAGAAAGATGAGGCAGTCTGCTTCCTTAAAGATTTACAGGCTTGGAGACCCAAAGGGGGTTGCTGTGAGTCAGAATGATATGAGTTGAGTTTTTTTATACACTATGTATCTTAAATTGGGACACAGGCAGTGACATGGATCTAACTAAAGTAGAAGATTAATAGAAATAGCAACTCTATAATTCTAGGTAGGAGCTCTGGTAGCATAGTGGCTAAAGCACTTGACTGCTAACCAGAAGGCTGGTGGTTCAAACCCACCAGCCACTCCTCGGAAGGAAGGTTGGGCAATCCTACTTCCATAGTGATACTGCCTCGGAAACCCAAGGAGGGGTCGCTATGAGTTGGGGCCGACTCGACGGCACACAACAACAACAACAACATAATTCTAGGTACTACATTTCAAGAGAAAAATAAAATTCATATACTCCTTATCAGTTGTGGATTAACAGAAAAGTTTAGTATTCACTTAGTTGCTCCTGGGCCTTAGAGACTTAAAGAAGCCACAATAATAAATCAATCCAGGGAAAAAGCTATGTTTCACCATTTAAGAAAATACTTGGATCTGCATTTTTATAGTTGCTATTATCTTTGCTTAAACAGAGTTGCCAAAAGATATGTAATAAACCACACTGGAATAGGGTCCAACTTTCAAGGGAGAGATGGGTTCTGTTTTAAAAAGGAATCACTGCAGTATTTGGGGAGCTATGGTGCCTAAGGCACTTGACTGCTAACCAGAAGGCTGGCGGTTGGTACCCACCACCCACTCCTGGGAAGGAAGGTTGGGCAATCTACTTCTGTAGTGATACCAACTGGGAAACCCAAGGAGGGGTCCTTATGAGTCAGATCCGACTCCACGGCAATGGTTGCATTGTGTTTTGCCGTGTTTTGATGGCACTAATCATAATCAATAATGATGTCGATACAATTCTGATAATTTTGGAAACCTGAAGTGCTATTTGCTTTGGTTTATTATTAATAAAAGTAAAAAATCTGTATTTTCTTATGTTCAACACTGTAACAGAGAACTTTAATGCTTATGCTTTATCCTTTTACAAGCCCAATTTCCAGACCTTCCCAAAGAAAACTCCTCAAAACCGTACTCAAGAATTTTGAAAAGAATAAGGAGGTACACTTTCGATGGTAACTTGTGATGAGCACTCTATCCTACAATCCAGTTCATCCAATGTTCCCCAGTGCTAAACTCACCTTGTGTATCTATCCATCTACTTCAAATTTTAACACCAAAGGACTAAATAGAACTACTTGCCTACATTTCATTGCTTAATATACAACCAAAACAATTTTACCTGCAATTTTCTAACTTTTTCCCCTGTTCTGTTTTGGTTAGGGTACTACAGGAAATTGCCACGAAACACTTTGTTTATATTTAACATAATTAAAAGCCTCAGTTAACAGCTACTTTAGCAAAAATTTGTATATTTCTGTTTAAGGTCACATAATATAAAAAGAAACTGGTCATTGACCATATAGGGTATCAACCAAACCTGCTTGGTGTATGCAACAAGTTTGACAACCCACAAAATGGTTACTTTGTCAAATGTAGACCCTCAAAGGAATTTTTTTTTTGTAACCAAATTTTAGCAATCATTACTTTCTGAAACTATTTATAATATTGTTTAAACAAAATTACCATCACTTGCCCTGAAACTTACTATCACTTTATTGTAACTACTATCTACTTAAAAATTGTAGGGTAGTGTTCACTTTTCTACAAGGTACACAGAAAATAAAATAGCAGGCATTGTGTCATGGTGAGGAGAAAAACCATTCGAGAAAGCTGTAGAAAATTCCCTTTTGAATTCAGCTTCAATTATTCACTATGATATTGGGTTTTTTGTTTGTATGTTTGTTTTTTCTTATGAGGACATTGGCTTGTGTGCCACTTATGTGACCCTCTTATAACTGGGCCACAAATATGTATCTCTTAGCTAGTAAAATATATATATATAGGATGTGATGTGTTCAAACCTTTGGGTAGAGATGTGCTTTTTCTTTTCTTTTTTTTTTTTTTTTTTTTTTTCAGTAAAAAGGAGGGAGACTTTTTTAAACCACCAAAGGAGAATTTTGACCATATTGAATGTGAAATTTCTAATTTTTGAAAACAATTACATTATTTTTTCCCTCAGAGAGGAAAAGGAGGGGCTCCCTCCCCATCTGGAGGGTGGGTCCACTTGAGGTGCAGCTGGGGAGGGAGGTGGAGAGGCCTTGTCCTCTGCAATCCACTTACCACCATACCTTACAACCTGAAGAAAGCTTCAGAAAAGGGGTACTGCATCTTGACGCTAGACAAGAAGCCCTGAAGGGGAGAGGAGAGGGGAGTGAGCAAGGAAGGGGGGAGATTGGGAAACAAGAAATCATCTCCTCTGACCTCTAGCGAAGTGCCAGGTTTTTTCTTTAGCTCTTCACATTTTCTAAATTTGCAGATCTGGTGTCCCGTTTTGCGGTTCCTGCAACTGCTGCAGACGCCACAGTTGATGAGCCTCTTGCAGGGCACGCAGACCCCACACCTTTTCCTCTTCTTCTTGGCCGGGTTGGCTCCGCCAGCTCCCCCTGAGGAGGACGAGGAGGAGGAGGAATGATTCTGCGGGCAGTCTGCCAGATTGGCAATTTGAAACGCACTGTCTGTGACGGCTGCTGAGGCTGCTGCGGGGGAGTGAAGGGCTGTCATGACGATGACCCCTGGAGGTAATGAGATGCCCCCTAAAGCCGGGATAGCGGAAAAAGTCCCCACGCGCTCGGGGAGATTCATTATCTCTGCTTCAGCAGCGCCGCATTTGAGCTTGTTCATGCATTCCCCCGCCAAAGGTCTGCAGTGTTCAGGGGATAAGGTGGAGAGGAAATTAGTATTTGCCATTTGCAACGACGGCTCTGGCGGGCAGCCAGCTTTCCCCAGCCTCTGGGAGTCATTTCGGTGGTGCATGCTGGTCCTGCTGCTGCTGCCGCTGCCGCTGCTACCGCCGCCGCCGCCGCCGCCGCCGCCACCGCCACCGCCACCGCCGGCGGGGAG